GTGTGTTAAATAAGTGTTTAAAAATACATTAAAGTCGGTAGTGGTGGAGATTGAAGAGACCAACAGAGGTGGTTTGCTATTTCCTGCCTCTGCATAGCAGCCCTAGACTTCCTTGGTGGTCTCCCATCCGACTGCTAACCAGGACTGACCCTGCTTAGCTTGCAAGTGCGACATCTAACAAGAACGGGCTAGAAGGTTACTAGACTACAAATATAGAATACATTGAAATTGTATTCTGTATTGTAGTCCTGCTGTACACTGCATTGGTCAGGCCGCACAAGGAGTATCATGTGCAGTTCTGGAGGCCTTCCTTCAAAAAGGATGTGGACAGAATGGAGCGGGTGCAGAGGAGAGCAAAGAGGATGATCAGGGGCCTGGAGACCAAGCCCTATGAGGAAAGGCTGATGGACTTGGGAATGTTTAGTCTGGAGAAGAGGAGGTTGGGGGGGGGGGACATGATTGCTCTCTTTAAGTATTTGAAGGACTGTCACTTAGAGGAGGGCAAGGAGCTGCTCCTGTTGGCAGCAGAGGATAGGACTCGCAATCATGGGTTTAAATTAAGGGCAGGAAGGTACCGGCTGGATATTAGGAGAAATTATTTTACAGTAGGAGTTGTTTAATGGTGGAATCAGCCGCCTAGGAAGGTAGTGCGCTTCTCTTCATGGCAGTCTTTAAATAGCGGCTGGACAAACACTTGTCAGGGATGCTCTAGGCCAGTGATGGCGAACCTTTTAGAGACCGAGTGCCATAGGTTCGCCACCACTGCTCTAGGCTGATCCTGCGTTGAGCAGGAGGTTGGACTAGATGTCCTATATGGCCCCTTCCAACTCTGTGATTCTATGGTTCTATGTAATGATAGGGCTTTAGCCAGTGTTTTATATCAAGGGAACGGGTTTGGGGTTTTTTTGTAGAACAAATTTAGAGTCCAGTGGCATGTTCAAGACCAACAAAGGTTTATTCAAGGTATGAGCTTCTGTGTGCAGGCACACTTTTTCATATCCTTACTGTTTTTCTGTCTACTGTTACAGTCAGATCCATTTCTGCCATAGGATTCAATGAGAGCCATAGAGAAAATTAATGCACTGCAACCAGGAAAAGAACATTGACAAAGAGCAAAATCTGACCCAGCCACTTGGGAGACTAAAATAAGTGACAAAGATGGGCTTTCCTCTATGTATAATTTTGAATTCTGAGCAAGTATTACTTGTTTCCAAAGGGTGTGTTGATGCAGTTTACATGTCTTACAAGTCCAGTATGAAGAACTGCCTCCCTCCTTCCCCTTCTAGTGGAAATGGAAAATAAAATGCTTAGATTCTACTATGCTTGGATGAATTAAAATGTACTTTGCAAGGTTGTAGCCTCAGAATGGGCAAAACAGAAATGGGATGTGATTAAGAAGCATTTCTCACATTTGGATTTAAAAAATCAGTAATGGTGTTGAACAAGGGCCATAATTAACAAAAAAATTGAATGTGCAGTGTAATGTCGTTGCAAAGAAAGCAAAGACAAGGTTCATCAGTGTGATGTCGTTGCAAAGAAAGCAAAGACAAGGTGGAGATGTATTAATAGAACTAATAAGACGGGGTTTGGGAGTGGGGTTTGTGTGTGTCTGTGTGTGTTTGTTTGGTCAAGCTTTGTTTCTTCTAGATGTCACATTTCATAGGAAGACGGGGAAGTGGAGCAATGAAGGAAAGATTGAAGGAGTTGAGGTTTACTTTATAGAAGAGGTTCACTGGTAGTTTAGGAAGAACCTTCTAGATTTTAAAAGTAGTAAGGTCTTGGAATCTTCATCAGTGGGAATCATCTTCTAGAGCAGTGATGGCGAACCTTTTAGAGACCGAGTGCCCAAACTGTGACCCAAAACCCACTTATTTATCGCAAAGTGCCAACACGGCAATTTAACCTGAATACTGAGGTTTTACTTTAGAAAAAACAACTCATACATTAACTTAAGATGATCCAAACAAAGTAAGGAAAGCAATCCCAAATGCTTTCATTTACTTAAAATTATTTGGCAGAGAATTCGACACTTTAATGATGGTCTGGGCCTGGCTGGGGCGATGGCACACGTGCCCACAGAGAGGGCTCTGAGTGCCGCCTCTGGCACCCATGCCGTAGGTTCGCCACCACTGTTCTAGAGTAATTTATACGCTGTGGTTCAGTCTAGCCCTTCTCTTGTCTCCAGTGTTCCCTTCCCTTGCACCATTACAATGCGCTTGTTGCTTACCCATCAAACCTTCAAGGGTGCATTCTCAGGCTGATAATTTTTCTGCTTAGGCAGTGGGAGTTGAGGGAAATGCATGATTTCCAGGGGGGGAGGGGTCACTTCTGTATTTTGTGATCGGATGTTGCTTATTTCTTTCTACAAGTGTTGGTGCTCATCAGGAACACTGCATTTTTAAACGTTCCCCATAACAGGGAGGGACCCTGTGTACATGCACAAGCTGGTGACAGAGCATTGGTGGGCATGGGGCAAGCACACTCATTCGTGTTCACCTTCTGTGCACCTTGATTTCAACATGAGTAATGTCATGTGCATGTGCTTTCTCCATTGTGGCTCCACAATGGCTCCATTGCGGCTCCATTGCCTGCCTGAGGAGTTACCAGGAAAGCTCCCACTCTCCAGTCTTTCTTGAGACTATATAAAACTATTCAAGCGGGCTTTTCTGTGCAGGTAATAAGGTTGTACTGTACAAAATGGTTTTACAAACCTGCTTGGATAAATGATTAGGGATGGTGGTCTATACTGTTGTGTGCAGCTTATTGAAAGTAGGATCCTTTTTACGTACTTTCCGTACTGCTAAATGCATTATGTGAATACTTATGCTATGCTTCAGTTCTTTCTGGTTGGTTCCAGACTTCTAATATCGTAATGCACTGGCTCATGAATGTCCCACTCTGTTGATTGTACTGAATCACTCCGTGTAATCCACCTTGAATCTCTGTGGAAAAGGGGGACGATAAATAACAGAAATAAATAATAATTAATGTCTGCACCTTAGATACCCATTTGGCAACAGTTGGGCATGATTGCAGCTTAACCCCAAATAAAGCCTGACTGGGGGTCCTCAAAGTCCTTCTCCTCCCATATTGTCCAGCACGCCAGTTAAGATCTGACTCACCAGCCTTGCTCTGTGTGCCCCTGCCTTCAGAGGTAAGGTGGGTGGCAGCCAAAGACAGGGCTTTTTCGGTAGTGGCGCCTTGCTAGTGACTCCTCCCATTGAGGGTCACTTGGCACCTACAGGGCTTACTTTAGATGCCAGGCTATCTAAATGTTTCTGTTCAACCCACCAAAGGGTTGAATGTCTAATGCTATTTTAGTCCGCCAACTGGTATTTTAAGCTGACGGCAGTCTGTTTTTATGCTGATCTGGATTTTTTAAATGCTGGATTTTAACACCTCTCCAGGAAGGGCAGGTTCCTGGAGAGGTGGCATAAACATTTTTAAATAAATTAAAAAATAGGCCCCTACCAGATCTAGATCATGTATGAAATCTGATCCAATTGGTCAGCCGCATTGGTCTGAAGCAGTAGAACAAATTTAGAGCTCGGTGGCATTTTTAAGACCAACAAGGTATGAGCTTTCACTTTTTCAAATACATTGGAATGGCAGGTAAGGTAACATGATGATGTTCAAGATATGCAAAGTGAAAACTAAGAATTTAGTTTTGTTCAACTAAATAACTAGTTAAGGTTATAAGGTCAACAGTTGTAAAGCAATAAATACGTCAAAGCAGTAGATAAATGTCCAAAGGTGTCTTTTCTAATTGTGGGAAATAACAGAGAATCTAAATTCTCTCCTCTCAGGTGTGGAGGGCACTTAACAGCATTTAACGAGGGGGATGTAGTGTTATGTCAGCAGACATCCCAATATCCCTTGCATTACATTCAGTATTCTAATATACTATTCTGAAAAAGGAATACACTAAAATACAGAGGATTTATAGTCCTTCTTGTAGAGAATACATATGTGGGGACTTAATGAGTTAGCAGATGTAATGAGATAAGAAACCAATATCCCTGTTGAGTCTTGCGGAGGCTTTTGTTTCAGGTGTTGTAATAACTTGTAATTCAGCAATTTCCCTTTCCATTCTGTTCCTGAAGTTCTTTTGTAATAAAACAGCTACTTTGAGGCAGAGTGAAGTTACTTCAAAGGACAATGCCAGCCCCTAGCATAGAGTGTAAGGTGAGCTACAACACTTGACTCAAATGCTGCTGTTTTAGAGACAAGACGTGTGCCCAGTGCTGTAGTGGTTGGACTCTGGCCGGTAAGACAAATTCAAATCCTCTCTCTGCCTTGAAGTTTAGTTGATATCTTTGAGTCAGTCTCACACACACTCTCAGCCTAACCTCCTTATTGTCTGAGGATGAAATAGGGAACGAGAGTATGTTTGCTGCCAGAGGATGTAGTGATGGCCACAGAAATAAACAGCTTTGAAGGGGGTTAGATAGATTCATAGAGGATGTCTGTCAGTGGTTACTAGCCATGGTGACTTAGGGGAACCTCCACATTCAGAGGCATTAAACCTCTGAATCCCAGAGCCAAGAGGCAACATCAGGCGAAGGCCTCAGCCTCTCTGTCCTGTTTTTGGCCATTCAGAGGAAATGGTTGGCCACTGTGTGAGACAGGATGCTGGACTAGATGGACTATTGGTCTGATCCAGTAGGGCTCTTCTTGTGTTCTTAGGAAGGCCTCGGCCTCTGCTCTGTTGTTGGCCATCCAGAAGAATTGGGTGGCTACTCTGTGAGACTGGATGCTGAACTAGATGGACCACTGGTCTGATCCAGCACGGCTCTTCTGATGTTGCCCTGAGCACCTTGGAAAATGTTGTGGGACAAAAATGTAACGAATTCTTAGAAACCAGACAGTTTCCACTGCCATTAATTGGAAGCATTTCCAAAGCCTTCATTCTCACTTCCTTTTCAGTCCCTAAAATATACATCATGTAGTCCTTGTATAATCCTTCCATTTTTCTCATTCTTCCTAGAATGAGTGGACGTTGCCGTCCAGTTAATCTCAGTTTGATCTGAAATTAGCCATGGAACATGTGGATTGGTTTATTCAAGGTACTGTTCCTATGCCACAGACATTGTGTATGTCCATGCACAGGCATGCTTGAAAGAGATTCTCGTGCTTTACCACATGTTCAAGGGTTTGGAGGCGAGGAGTTTTCAAACCAATGGGAGTGTAGCACAGTAAACACATGCTCCATTTATATTTTGTACACAGAAATTAAATCAGTCCAGGAGAAACATCCTGTGCAGTGTGGCCTTCAGGTTGGATTAGACTGGGCAGAAATTAATTTCCTTGTAGAAAATGGAGAAATTCACCTCTGGTAAAGGAGTTAAATGAAAGGATTAGCAAGAATAAGCTGTTGATGCCTTGCAGAAAAAATACTGTGGAAGAACTGATTATGTCCTCCAGATGAAAGTCTAAATTATATATAAAACATGGAAATGTATAAGTGAACTGCAAAATAACAGGGCAACAAAATGTGTATGGCAGGTGCCCCTCCCCCCATCTTATAATATGTAAATGGAAGCTCTTGAATTGGGCTCGTTGTCTGTCTTGAGTTGTGTTGTTAATTCCAGAGGACTGGCCATGTTGCTCTGTCGCAGCAAAAATAAACAGTCCAGTGGCCTCTTCAAAGTTAAGTTTTTATTCCAGCTAACCTAGTCTGGGAAACATGATGCTGAAATAAAATCTCGTTCATCTGGAAGGTGCCACTAGACATCCAAATCGCAAGATGTCAGTCCCACTGTACCCGGCATTGGTCAGGCTGTACCTGGAGTACTGTGTGCAATTCTGGAGGCCTCCCTTCAAAAAGGATGCGGACAGAATGGAGTGGGTGCGGAAAAGAGAGATGAGGATGATCAGGGGCCTGGAGACCAAGCCCTGCAAGGAAAAGCTGAGGGACCTGGGAATGTTCAGGCTGGAGAAAGAGAAGGTTGAGGGGGGACATGATTGTTCTCTTGAGGTATTTGAAAAGCTGTCCCTTAGAGAAGAGCAGGGAGCTGTTCCTGTTGACAGCAGAGGATAGGACTCACAATGATGGGTTTAAATTGTGGGTAGAAATGTACCTGCTGGGTATTAGGAAGATTTTTTTTTTTTTACAATAAGAGTAGTTTAGCAGTGGAATCAGCTGCCTAAGGAGAGAGACCCCCCCCCCCCCGGCCATCTTCAAGCAATGGCTGGATGAACACTTGTCAGGGATGCTTTAGGCTGATCCTGCATTGAGCTGGACATTGGACTAGATGTTCTGTATAGCTCCTTACAACCCTATAATTCTAGGTGCCTGTGTGGTTTGGGTTATGTTGGAATGTGGCAAAAAGATCATTTGTGCATGAGGTTATGTTTAAACTTACTGGCATTTGTTGAACAGATTTTAAAACGTCTGCCCTTTTTTTGCAGGTGTCCTGGCTCTTTAATCCAGCAAGAAGCGCAATAACAAGCCTTGACAGTGGAAATATAGATGATACCTTAAGTAAGTGTTCAAACGTCCATATTTTATTGATTGAAATAAGCTTGGTTTCCACAAGTGATTTAATGTTTATTTTGAGGGTGTGTCTGGTGTCAGCATTCAGAGGCTTTTCAGCAGTCTGGAACAACCATTAAATTCCTTTTAATAATTATTCATGTTCAGCCCTATGACTGTTGTAACAGCAGTCCTGAACAGTCATGTCTTGAAGATGAAGCTGGAATTGAAACAATTTAGTATTAGCCATGTACTGGAGGTAAAGTTACCATGCTTCTCTGGGGCAGGAAAAAGTGGTTGAGGAGTTGCTTTTATTTTTGTAAGAAATGTGCTAATAAAGACAACAAGGGGAACTTCCTTTATTTGAGTTATGTACGGAATATATATATTTTATCTTGGTTCAGATCAGAAAGATTAAAGTAGCAGAATCAAAAGTGGTATGGAATGCAGAGGAGGGAAACAGAGATGGTTTAGAGGGTTGGAGCACCTTCCCTATGAAGAAAGGCTGAAGTGTCTGGGACTTTTCAGTTTAAAAAAGAGATGACTAAGGGGAAGAAGAAGAGAGGAGATTGGAAGAGATTGGATTTATACTCCACCCTTCACTAACCAAAGGTGTCTCAAAGCGGCTTACAAACTCCTTTCCCTTCCCCTCCCCACAACAGACACCCTGTGAGCAATGTTCCCTCTAAGCTGTGGAGTCTTGTGAGCAAAACTTCTACTTTGTGAGCTACTGGCATGAAAGTCATGAGCGAGTGATTTGGCAGCTGCATAAATTAGTTTGCTCTGGAGCCATCCCTTCCTGAGCTAAGACAAAAAGGTGTGAGCCGGAGGCTAAAAAACTCTGCGCTAGCGCACACTAACTCAGCTTAGAGGGAACACTGCCTGTGAGGTAGTTGGGGCTGAGAGAGCTCTGACAGAAACTGCTCTTTTTTTCAAGAACAGCTCTTATCAGAGCTACGGCTTGCCCAAGGCCATCCAGCCAGGCGCAAGTAGAGGAGTGGGGAATCAAACCCGGTTCTCCCAGATTAGAGTCCGTGCACTTAACCACTACACCAAACTGGGAGACGTTCTAGAGATTTATAAAACTATGTAAGGGGTGAAGAGTTGGCAAAGAGAACTTTTTCTCCCTCCTGCAAAATACTAGAAACTTGATGGGCAGTAGATTCAGGACGGACAAATGGAAATACTAGTTTGTTTGTTTGTTTGTTTATTTATTTCAGCTTACTACCCCGCTCTAACCCCCTAAGGGGTCTCTGAGCGGCTACAGTTACTCATTTATCCCTAACCTATGGCCACAATTATTAGGGGTGGGGACAATCCCTACCGGCACCCAGTGGAGGGGTTTTTCTCCCAGGTCGGCTACGTCGACTTCGGCGTCACTCGGCTTCTGGCTCCTTTCTGGCGGTCTTTCAGTTGCGGATCGGTTGGGCCCTTCTGTCAACGCAGTATGCTCCAGCGCGGCCTTGTGTCCGATTCCCCATGCATTCGAAATAAATCCACGGTTGAAGAACAAAGTTAAATTTATTATAAAGCGATGGTTAGATCAGGAACACAAGAATTGTTAGGAATGACTACAGACCCCATAGGGAAACATAATAAAGGAACTTGAATCAGGTTAGGACCAATGAGTCCAATTCCCGCTGGCGGGAAGGCAGATAAAACTAGCGCCCAATTCCTTGGGAACACAACGGTTCTACAACATAAACACCAGTTCAGTTCCCAGGCATGAGATACATAATAAAGCAAACCAATGCCATAACTCCATCCCACCTCCAGCTGGTTGACCTTGAGCAGTTCCGCAGACGTAGCAAGCAAAAGACAGTAAACACCTACACAGGAGGATACATGGGGGGATGGACAGGGCACAATGTAATATGCAGAAAACATCACACCACCTTATGGCAGCTTGCTGACACCTTGGCTCAGTTCTCGCGGTTTACACAGAGAGTGATTAAAATGTGGAGTTTGCTGCCAGAGGATGTAGTGTTGGCCATGGGAATAAACAGCTTTAAAGGGGGATTAGATAGATTCATGGAGGATAAGTCTGTCCTTAGCTAGGAGCCATGGTAACTGAGGGGAAACCTCCACCTTCAGAGGCACTAATCCTCTGAATCCCAGAGCCAGGAGGCAACATCAGGAGAAGGCCTCGGCCTCTATGCCATGTTGTTGGCGCTCCAGGGGAACTGGTTTGCCACTGTGTGAGACAGGATGCCGGACTAGATGAACCATTGGTCCAGTCCATCAGGGGCTCTTCTAATGTTCTTAATAAGCGAGCACTCCCCCCTAAATTGTGTTCATAGGAGTATCAAACTAGTTTAGAAGTCCATCAGTTAACCCAAAACCAATCTGAACCATTTAAAGAAGGGGACTACCACATCTCTAGCTTTGAGTAGTCCATGACCTGGGAGCAGCAGGTGCTTGCCAATCTTGCGGGGTAGGGTGGGATATAAACTGAATGAAATAAATAAAATAAATAAATGTCACGGCAGGCTCTTGCAGCAGGGTGCTTCTGGATGATCTTAACACCAGGTAGTTTTTGTTCTTTTAAAAAAATTTTTAGCTCACTGCTTCTTTATATGAGGTCTTCCAATAAATTCGGATAAACTAATAGATACAAGACAATCAAACAGAATGCATAAAAATACAATCAGTAGGCAGGGAACAGAATGAAAACCAGTAAATCAAAGCAGCAAAAGGTAACCTAGAAGAAGCAAGCATAAGATAGCATAAAAATGGCAGGTGGTAGTTCAGTCAGGTAACGTTCTTAAGATATTAAACAGATGAAGTTGCATTACGCTGAGCTCATCATGCCTTTTGCCTGTCTCGGGTACTACTCTGACTGGCAGTGGCATTCCCAGAGTCCATGTTAGAGAGGTCTTCTATGTCACCTACTTCCTGGTCTTTTTACCTGGAGATGCCGGGATTGAAGTAGACACCTTCTGCAAGCAAAGCCAGTGCTCTACCGTGAAGCCTGGGCCACGTCTCTGTTAAAAATACGGTGGCTGTTAAAAACAGAATCCTCTTATAGGATTTTTCAAGGATTTTCAGAGAGGGCATGTCATGATCTGGGCTGTGCTACCAGAAGTCTACTAGGCCCAGAGAGCCTGGCTAGCAGTAGGTGAGGCTGGGCCTACAATTCCCAGAAGCCCCTGGGAGGTTTTGGAGCCAAAATGGACCAATAGGAAAAGAGGAGGAATGGGAATAAAAGTTCTGATGCAGCAGGAAGAGCTGTTCTTTCTTCCAGAGGGCAGAGCCAGAAGATAGGCTGCTGCAGGGGAAAAACCCTCATCCTGAGGGAGGGGAGAGTAGTGTAAGGCCACTTGAGCTAGTGAGCTAGTGAAAGTATATTTAGACGCATTAGGGCATTTGATTTCTTTTCACCCACTTACTGTTATTATTCTGCACCTTGGTGTTTGACCTCCTATAAAATAAACCTTGGGAGGGTACTCTGGGCCTTCTCAAGGGAACCTAAATCCAGAGTGGTGGCAGCGTCAGGTGACACCCCACCTGAGCCGTGACAGGGCATTTAAAAAAAAAAGCCTGAACACATAGAAGTGTGTTTGTGCCTCCAGGTAATTAGGCGCCAGGTGAACCAGTGGGTAGAAGGTTTTCCACAGACGACTTGCCATCATGGGGCTGACCATGCCCTTTTCCAATCAGAGGCCGTCCCATTTGAAGCACTTTGACCCGGGGGGGGGGGGGGGGAGATATTTGAGTTTTACAATTTTTTTTGTTTTAATTTGTAATGCATAAATTGTTACTCGAAGCTTGTCTTCAGCCAAGCAGAATGGTGGGGTTTACGTATTTTAATAACACCAGGAAAAGCTGCAGTTCTTTCAAGCATCTAAACCCACCACCACCACCATGGCAAATTCAAGACTGGTCTATATGTTATTAGGGTCTCAGGTCTCTTTAGATAGGTGTAGGGTTGCCAACCCCCCCGGTTTGCCAGGGATTCCCCGTTTTTGGGGGGGGGTTCTACCTGCCGCCGGCCAGATGGCCGGCAGGGGAAGCCCCACCCCCCACACTCACAGCCACCCATCTCTCTCCCTTTAAGTGTGTGCATCCCAAGCGCGAACTCCGCAAGCTTGCAGGGAAAAGCCAGCTTCCTTCTTAAAAGGGAAACGCAGCTGCTCTTAAAGGGGAAACGCCGGCTGCCGGCTACTTTAACTGCAGGGAACTGCCATTTCTGAAGATCCGGCGCATGGGCGGGTAACCCAACACCCACAGCCACCCATCTCTCTCCCTTTAAGTGTGTGGAACCCGTGTTTCCTCCCAAGCCCGATCTCCGCATGCTTGCAGGGAAATGCCAGCTTCGTGCTCTTAAAAGGGAAACACAGCTGCTCTTAAAGGGGAAACGCCAGCTCCTGCATTTAAAAGGGAAACACCGGCTCCTTTAAGTGCAGGGAACTGTCATTTCTGGAGATCTGGTGCACGGGGGTGTGGGGGGCGTCGGACGTTCCCAACGTGATGTCATCATGTCAGGGATGCCCCACCCCCTCCAGGAACGCCCTCAAAGTCCTCCGCTGGGGGTGGAAGATGGACTTGGCAACCCTAGATAGGTGGGGTGGTCGGTTTTACCCTGGCTTCTTTCAAAGGTAGAGCTGCCATTCTTACACTCAGGAAGGCATTAAAAACCCACCTGATCCAATGTTTGGAAGCATCTCCCACTCCACAGGGCATGCTCAGGAACAATTACAAAGACATGTTGCGGGGCTCCAGAGGCCCAGTCCCTAATACTATCCCTATACAACAGGACTAATGGGTGGGGGAAGTCCCACAATTTTTGCTTGCTGGAGCTTCCCAGTCTAAACCTTGGACAATAGTCATTCAGCAAAGGTTGTTGGGAGAAGCCCCACACATCCCCGCATACCTGAGGGAGGGCCCACACCAGAGCCAGTTGGAAGGGCTGATCATGGACCTGCTGCATGTCGTGCGTTGCCCGGGCACCTGCATTTGGAAGTCGCCATCAATAAGAGTTTATTTGGAGGCTTTGTAGACCCAAGAAGCTTTCAGTCATGCAGCATGCAGTCAGCGCTGGGGGTGGGTGTGCAAGCATGTCCACAAACGGCATTCATTTGTTGCAATATGTGAATGTGGCAAATGAAAGGAGCTGAAAAGCCAAAGAATACTGAGTGACACAACATCGTGAGACGACAGGAAACCAGCTCAGTTAGGACAGGTGGAAGCTTGGGCAACCTTGTGGGCATATGTCATCGCCAGTGTTCCCTCTAAGCTGAGTTAGTGTGAGCTAGGTCACAGTTTTTTAGCCTCCGGCTCGTGCATTTTTGTCTCAGCTCAGGAAGGACGGCTCCTGAGCAAACTGATTTATGCAGTAGCCAAATCGCTTGCTCACAACAGTAATGCTAGTAGCTCAAGAAGTAGAATTTTTGCTCACAAGACTCCACAGCTTAGAGGGAACATTGGTCATCGCAGTCCAGAAAAGCAGGCCTGGTGGCCTAAAGGGGAAGTAATTTTTATAGCCTGATATAGTTTTAGTTATAGAGCCTGAATTCCTAGGTTAACATTCTTCCCTGTTCATTTCTCAAACTCCTGTGAACTCAAGTCGCCCTGTGTTCTCCCATTTTAGTAGCTGTAACATCAGGATACTTTCTCATTATGCACTGATCCTCCAGCATGGTTAGAAGAACCTGGCTGTCTGTTTGGTGTAGTAATTAAGTGTGCGGACTCTAATCTGGGAGAACCGAGTTTGATTCCCCACTCCTCCACTTGCACCTGCTGGATGACCTTGGGCAAGCCGTAGTTCTGGCACAGCTGTCCTTGAAAAAGAGCAGTTTCTCTCAGAGCTCTCTCAGCCCCACCCACCTCACAGGGTGTCTGTTGTGGGGAGGGGGAAGGGAAAGGAGTTTGCAAGCCGCTCTGAGACTCCTTTGGGTAGTGAGAAGGTAGTGAATCCAATCTCTTCTCTTTTTTTTCCTGTTGTAATAACTATTAATTTCTTTTTTTTCCTTTTAGACAATGCAGATGTTGCTTTAGTGAATTTTTATGCTGACTGGTAAGTGTTTCTACATTTATCTGCTTTTACTAAAGTAGAACCGAGATCACTTACACCTTGTTAAACTTTGACTATTTAGTCCAGGATTCAGGTAGAATTGAACAGATTAAACTTGAATTATATAACACATGCAAATCCAGCTTCTCAAATTCAGATATTCCACAACCCCCAGGTATATTTTCTTTGGATTCAAACTAGTTTGTGGGAGATTATGGGCAGTTTTTCAGCTCCCTCCTCAGCTCCCCTCATTATTCCAACATTTATTTGAATAATTTTAGTCTTATGATGTGTCTTCTCTTCCAACAGGTGTCGCTTTAGTCAAATGCTGCACCCCATCTTTGAGGAAGCTTCCAATGTCATTAAGGAAGAATTCCCAGATAAGAATCAGGTGGTGTTTGCCAGAGTAGATTGTGATCAGCACTGTAAGTAATACTTTAGTTCAGCTGTGATTTTAAATGCTTAATTTTATTGCAGAGGTTTTTTTGTTTGCCAGACTGAACATTATACCTACAATGGTTTTACAAGAGAGGTTTTTGAATAGGTCCTACACTGACAGAATTCGCCCTTGTAGCCTTAACAGGGTTGATACGTCCTTTCACGCCCTGCTGGAATGCAGATTTTTTTGAGATCATGCGGGATCACTATACTAAGCCTTTATTCAACCGATCGTCCCCCTGTACTCCGGAAACCCTGGCTCTTCTGCTCAATAATAAGGATCCCAAGATCACTCTACCAAGTTGCAAAGTTTGTCTCAGTCCTTTTAGCCCTTGCATCTAAAAAATAAGAAATAAGTGTTGTTTGCTATCAAGATTCGTGAATCAGTGAGCTTCTAAGGGTACGAAAGAAAAAGGAGAAATGCTTAATTGAGCATATTCCAGTGTTTAACAATTTTAGAGGAAAGTGCAGGCTTTTGCAGTGTTTGTGTGGAGGTCCAAGGCGGGTGAAATCCACTTTGTTACATACTGGCAATGCAATTATAAAACGGATACGAAAGGGGAAAGCTCTTCAGTTGTCATGTTTGTTTTTGTTTGTGTGTTGGTCTTTGGAGGCTGGCTGTGAGTTTGTATTGCTTGGTGCAGTCTTCGCCAAGATTGACATTTCATCCTTGTGTACACAGGAAAATAAGGAAGGGGAGCAAGTTGCATTGGGGAGCTGATCCGATGTCAAAACTCCTTCAGTATAGATCAGTAGCTGCTAAACTGTGCTGCAAGAGAACTGGTAGTGTGTTTCAGGTGCAACCAGCCAAATGTTCCTGTAACTCCTCAAATACCCAGTCACTGAGGAGGCTGCCTGCAGCGTCTCTAAATGATTTACTGCTCCATTGGGATTAGGTAGTTCTGCTGTTTCTGCGCATCAGGTGCAAATGAATCGTTCAGTCACTTTCAGTTCTGACCTGTTGTGGAAATGGTTCCGGGTCTAGACTTTTCTGGGAATGGTATGCCATTGTCTTTAATGCAACAGCAGACTTCTCATAAGCACGTCCCCTTTTCTAACATGCTTTCTCAGTGTAATTAAGAAAATGTAACTTGCACCTTAATAAACATTTCCTTACATTATCTTCCGTGATCAGAAATAGAGAAGACTCAGCAGGCTGACAGTTCACTGAACGAAATGAATGTACCCCTCAAATCTTACATGTCTGATCTGATTTGGCAGTTTCTTCTGAAGACAAATTTCTGAAGCTGCCCTGTGGCAATTTCTTTACTCCTCTTTTAAGGTGTTAACAAAGTAGCTGTGCAAAAGTCAACAGCTGCTAAGGTTAAGTGACTTCCTGTCCGTCTTCTCTGTATTTTCTGGATCGTCTGCTTCCTATTACCTAATGTCTTAGCAGATGAGTGTCCCCATGAAACTATAGCTGTAATAAGCATCGGTACTCGAGATATAGGATACAATGCACTCCAGCATGACCAAGAAAGTCCAGTATGGGGCTGAGCAGAAGAGGCAATGCAAGTTGGAGCTAACTCGGTTCACTAGTGTGTCCTGTGATACCAAGAACGCAGCCTATGAGCTGCAGCTCAACTGAGAATAGGGGACGCCTCCACTGGACCTCGCAGTCCCCTTAGACCGGGTTACCCCCACCCTAATGGGGTCCCTAAAATACATCTCTGCTTTCTACCATGTAAATGAATGTCTTCCATATAACTACCATTTCAACATCGAAGGGAACAATCAATTGATCCAGTTCTTAAATTACAGAAATGATTCTGTGATGCCTGGTTAGACCAGAACAAAGTACGGTCGATGCAGCCACATTGCAGCAGAGTGGACCACACAACAAGCTGTCGAATAAATGGGCAAAATCAATCTTGTTATCACCTCTGTGTGTGTGGCGATCTGTCACTTGCTCCGAAGACTCTGAACCAAGGGTTCTTTGACACACACACACACCCTTACCTTTCTCCCTAATGGTTATTTGGCGTTCTTTTAATATTGAGGCTCTTTATTCTGTGTGGGTGTGTGGTTTATAATTGGCTTTTAGCCACGTTAATTTGAGGAGAGACCTAGTTTGCAATGCAAATGACATCCTTCCGTGCGAAACGGCAAGCTCTGCAGGGAGCAGAAGTAGCTGCTTTCACACTCCTCCCGACCGCATTCAGAGTGGTCAGCCCGGCAGAGGGGCTCGTGCTTTGATGCAGAGTAGCACACTGAGGGTCCCAGCAGCTCCTTACCCGGCTTTGAGGCCCAGTAAATTAAAAAGAATTATTGATGTCCTCCACGATGTTTGATGCTTAATGACAAAATGTCATTTTGCCTGCCCTCGCAGCCATTATAAAGATGTTTTGTTGGAGAATGTGTGGAACCCTGATGTGTTTAAGAACGCCAAGATTTTTTTTTTAAAGTGCTCTTCTGTTTTATCACGCTTTTAAAAAACTGAAAGGCAGTTTAAGAATTAGGACTGCAAGGATTTAGTTGGTTGGTGGGGCCCAAAATCAGTCGGAGCACCTGACTGAAGATTAAGCATATACTTTTTGGGGATAATGTTATGGGGACTGGGATTTTAGTACAATAGGGAATAAAAATGAAAACATTAAAGGATGGTCCTTTCTTCGGGGAGTGATTATCGATTTAATGCAGGGGCTCTGAGCTGCATTTATCAAGGGCAGGCCACGTGATTACAAGCTTTCTCTTCCATACGTTTATTGAATTAATTAATTTAAAGCATTTATTAGCTGCCTTTCATCCTTATGGAGCTCATGGCGGCTTACAGCATAGGTACAGTACATCAAATAAAATACAAGAAAACACAAAAAACGAAATTTAAAATCCAATTCAGGACTGCTGGTAAACTTAAAAAAAAAAACTTAACCAAATGCGGTCCTGAATAAAACTGCTTTCAGCTGCCTCCTAAAGATCAGAAGTGGGCTTTGGTTGTCGATAAAAGAAAGTTTATGTTTGCGTTGAATGGAAACTTAGACCTGGCTGCTTGAATCTACTGCAAGGGTCCCCCTAGCCTTTTACTGCCAGTTGGGAGGCTTTGGAATTCTGACACCTCTTGAGGCAGACTCAGCATGGGTTCTGTAAGGGAAGATCTTGTCTCACTAACCTGTTAGTGTTCTTTGAGGGGGTGAACAAACATGTGGACAAGGGGGATCCAATAGATATTGTTTACCTTGACTTCCAGAAAGCTTTTGATAAAGTTCCTCATCAAAGGCTCCTAAGTAAGCTCAAAAATCATGGGATAAAAGGACAAGTCCTTTTATGGATCAAAAACTGGCTAATTAATAGAAAACAGAGAGTGAGTATAAATGGGCAGTTCTCCCAGTGGAGGGGGGTAAGCAGTGGGGTACCACAGGGATCAGTACTTGGTCCACTGCTTTTTAACTTGTTCATTAATGATTTGGAGTTGGGAGTAAGCAGTGAAGTGGCTAAATCTGCGGATGATACGAAGTTGTTCAGGGTGGTGAAAACCAGTGAGGATTGTGAGGCACTCCAAAGGGATCTGTCAAAGATGGGCAAGTGGGCGTCAACATGGCAAATGGGGTTCAATGTGGCCAAGTGCAAGGTGATGCACATTGGAGCCAAAAATCCTAAATATAAATACACATTGATGGGGTCTGAACTGGCAGAGACAGATCAAGAGAGAGATCTTGGAGTTGTAGTAGATAACTCACTGAAAATGTCGAGACAGTGTGTGACTGCAATAAAGAAGGCCAATGCTATGCTGGGGATTATTAGGAAGGGTATTGAAAACAGATCAGCCAATATAATAATGCCCCTATATAAATCAATGGTGAGACCTCATTTGGAATACTGTGTGCAGTTCTGGGCACCACACCTTAAAAAGGATATTATAGCTTTGGAAAAAGTGCAGAAAAGGGCAACTCGAATGATAAAAGGGTTGGAACACTTTCCCTATGAGGAAAGGTTAAAGCGCTTAGGGCTCTTTAGCTTGGAGAAAAGACGACTGAGGGGTGACATGATCGAGGTTTATAAGATTATGCATGGGAAAGAGCAGGTAGAGAAAGAGGTACTTTTCTCCCTTTCTCACAATACAAGAACCCGTGGGCACTCCATGAAATTGCTGAGCGGTCGGGTTAGAACGGATAAAAGGAAGTACTTCTTCACCCAAAGAGTGATTAACACATGGAATTCACTGCCACAGGAAGTGGTGGGTGCTACAAGCATGGACGGCTTCAAAAGGGAATTAGATAAGCATATGGAGCAGAGGTCCATCAGTGGCTATTAGCCACAAGGTATAGCTAGGGGCTCTGGGGCAAGTGATGCTCTGTCTTCTTGGTGCTTGGGGGGGGGTCAACAGTGGGAGGGCTTCTAATGTCCTGGCCCCACTGCTGGACCTCCTGATGGCACTGGTATTTCTGGCCACTGTGTGACACAGAGTGTTGGACTGGATGGGCCTTTGGCCTGATCCAACATTGGCGTCTCTTTTGTTCTTATGACACAGGGTGATGGCAGCAGTGGAAGGTGGGGCCAGCCACAGAATGTCACATAATGACATCATGCATAACTCTGATAGTACTCTTCAACATTCTAGGCAGAAGCTAGCCCTTTTAAAGAATATTTTCTTGCGTACTCACACAGCAAGTTTACATACTTGAGCTAGCTAAGAAATCCCTATCTGGCCGTTTCAGCCTTCATTTTGCAGGCATCTCTCCCCTTATATAAAGCCGTAGTGGGGTCCAGCGTTCCAATGCACACCTACAGTGTTTGGATGCAAGAACTGTCAGTCAGAAGACGCTGGCTGGGTTGACTGGCTGCTTTGTGCAGTCCCGCCCAG